TTTCCAATGAGATACATTTCACTGATGTACAAATAACTAATTGTTTAAAGGAAAATTCCTGTATCATTTTTTCTCAAGCCCCTTTTACTTCTTTCCTGGTCTAAGTTTTTATATAATATTTTATTTCACATGTATGCACTTATATGTTATAGTATGTTTTGTATTTCTAAATATTTATTACTAGTGAAATTATGCTGGTCATTCCAGAACTTGTTGTCCACTTAACCTTATATTTTTAATATTATCTAGTACCTTAGATGGTTTAACTTATTTTCTCTGTAGGCAGAATTCATTATCATACTTCATACTTTGTTTTCTACTTACCATTTGATATATGAACCATGCTTGAAGTATATTAAAAATTAGCTTTGGGGTCTGGGCATGGTGGCTCATGCCTGTAATCCCAACACTAGGGAGGACAAAGTGGGTGCATTGCTTGAGCTCACAGGTTTGAGATCAGCCTGAGCCAGAGTGAGACCTGGTCTCTGAAAATAGCTGGGTGTTGTGGTGGGCTCCTGTAGTCCCAGTTACTTGGGAGGCTAAGACAAGAGAATTGCTTAAGCCCAGGTGTTTGAGATTGCTCTGCGCTATAATGCCATGGCATTCTACCAAGGGTGATAAAGTAAGACTCTATCTCAAAAAAAAAAATTAGCTTTGGCTTATAATTCTGATTATACATAGGTTCATTTAACTTGGTACTTGCGTTCTTGGAGTTTTGCTTTTTAAACCTCTTTGACTTATTTAATACTTGTATAGTACTACTCTTTTACTCATTTCACATGTGCACAATCCTGCAGCATGGATATCCTATTTTTCCCCAGTGACATATGGGAAATTTAAAGGTAGAATGGGGGGGATAAATTATTTCTGATATCTGAGTTCGGTATTTTTTGCACTACTTGGCTCATACAGTCTCCCATACGGGAATGTATTGTAACTTTTTAATTTTGAATATATGCCTTATGGCTTCTAAATTCTTGTGGGCTTTATTAGAATTCAGTATAATATCATTCTGTTTTGCAGGGGTTCACAAGCAGGAAAGCAGATTGCACGCAGTCGAGAGAAGCAACGAGATGATGATGACCCTTCTGTTTTAATGTCTGATACTGAGCCTAAAGGTTTGTGAACCTTAGAAAACTGTTGGAATTTTGATTTTTGATTATTGCATTTATAATAGTTTTCAAATTATAAATAACTTTATTTCATCTTATTTTTTTTAAAAAGGGAGATTTATTCATAACATGAAGAATATTGTTAAACCTCTTTATGTACTATAGTACACATTTCTTGATGTATTCACTAATCCTAAATGTTAAATTTACTAATCCCCAAAGTTAAATGTTATTTTCCTCTTTCTTTTTTTGTGGAGGCTGAGGATATAGGTGTCAAGTTATAATGCTTAGCTATTTCTAAGTGTTATTTCCATGGATATTGATAATACTGCTAACTGGGTTTTTATTATTAGCTTCCTGCTATCTTTCCTCTTTACCTTTTTTGTTTATTAGAATTTCTTTCAACTCTAGAAGATGCCAAAACAAGCCACTATTAGCAAACTTAAAGGTAAACACAATCCAGATTTCTGAAAATGTTTTGTAGGCCTCCTTGCATATTGGTTTAATGACTTGACTTTTCTCCTTTTTATCTCTCTTTCATGGTTTAAAAATATTTTACCAAAACTTGTAGAAAAATCACCATATTATTAATTTATGAAACTAACACCTTCAGGGGTCTCATGGATAATAGATAGCTTCAAACAGTTCAGGTATTTAATTTTCTGAATGATTTTACATGATATCCATAATAGCAAAAGTTCTTTAATGATACTGTATAAGAATTCATTACACTCAGTTTGGAACATAGCTATTTCTATATTCTTTTAGTAGCCTTTTTCATAGGAATGAAAAAGATAGCTTGAGGCTCAGTGCCTATAGCTCAGCAGCTAGGGCATTGGCCACATACACTGGGGCTGGCAGGTTTGAACCCGGCCTGGGCCTGCCAAACGACGACAACTACAACCAAAAAATAGCTGAGCATTGTGGTGGGTGCCTGTAGTCTCAGGAAGCTGAGGCAGGAGAATCACTTAAGCCCAAGAGTCTGAGGTTACTGTGAGCTGTGACGCCCCAGAACTCTATTGAGGGTAACATAGTGAAACACTGTCTCAAAAAAGAAAAAAAGGACAGCTTAAATTAAAGGATTTAGTAAGTAAAAGTCTAAGTATAGTTAAGAGATTAAGCTCTCTCCAGTTAAAGCTGTCCATTTAATACAATTTCAATAATAAAAAGTACCATTGGCAGTTTTTTAGCTAGATAAAATTATTTTAAAATTGATCTGGAAGAATTGTGTGGGGAGCTAAGAATAATTTGAAAGAGAATAAAAACTGAAGATTAACTCTTTGCATTAATAGGTGAACATGTTCTACCATATATTAAAACATATTATGAAAATACAACAATGATAACAATGTAGTACCAGTACTGGGACAGGTAGATATAATCCAAATATATATATATATATATATATATATGTAATTTGTGGTATGACAAGGATGACACTTCAAATCACTGGCAAAGGACAGACTGATTAATATGTAATAATCAGATAATCTGATAGTTGTTTAGAAAAAATAAATTTAACCAAACTCAGAATTAGTTACTGGTAGCACTTCTAAGATACTGACTAAAATATAGATTAATATTCATGTACCTTAGAATAGGAAATAA